GTATATATATAGGGCGAGATATATAGATTTACCTGTATGAAGTGAGGGGTGGGTTCGGTTTCGCCTTGCTCGTTGAAGGGGCCCACATCGATGAACTGGTAGTCGTATTTAAATCCGGCATTACCGTATGTAAACTCCTAAGAAAACCCCCGAGTGAAAGATTACATATTAACATATATACAATGCGTCGTACAAGCCCTTGCGTCTACATGCTCACACATACCATTGAAAGTACTAGTGAATGCTGAAGTAGTAGCACCAATACAAATGCAGCGGGTGAGACGAATACATACATACATACATACATGCATACATACATACATAAATACTTACATACATAAATCAAGACGATCTACGCCAATTTCTCATATACATACGGACACGTGAGAGAGAGAGATGAACAGGCTCATAGGTGGCGACTATAAGCGCAAGTGATAGGCAAGCCCTCACCTGTATGTTGCAGATATGTACTCACCAACACAGAGACGGTTTGGAATACGTACATGTATGTAGAAAATCCCATATACGTACATGTACGTAAAAAGTCCGGTTTACGTACATGTACGCAAAAAGCCCCATATACGTACATGTACGTAAACAATCGGATATATCTGCACGCACTTTACGTAAACGTATGTGTTATCCGATGTTCAGTAACTCGCAGGTGGGTCTTGTGCTTGTGCTTGTGGCAGATCGAGAATGATCTCTGAACATGTATGAGTACACGCACACACTTATGACATCATTGCCCCCGTATATGTATTTATTATAAATCTATGCATCCACGTACGCATACGTTTACAGCCTTAAATGTGTACATATAGGGAACAAAACTTTAGACATACACATATAAATTCATACACACACTATGGATACGTATAAAAACCATACATGCACGCATGAACCCATACATATACGTATAAAGCCTTAAATATGTGTACATATATGGTATAAACCTTTTGACATACACGTATAAAACCGTACGTGCACGCATGGACCCATACATACATGTGTACACATGTTTATACTTTCGCAATCGACATACGGGAAGGGCCTGAACGTGTGGCAGGTTGTCGAGTTTCTTGTAACGCCAGCTGTAGAGCTGCGCTATGCTGCTGCGCGCACGCCCCTGGGCATCCAGATGTACAGCCGGGACGTTTAATCTAGAACGGTGAGGTGTGGGGGAAAGATCAGTACTAGACAATAAAAGAGGAGACGTGCATACAGATATGCAGATGTGTTGCCATGTATCGAGATATACTGTTTGTAAATTGGGCCTGTGCGTGGCGGGAAGTAGGTAAAGTTCAGTAGAGGACAAATACAGAGGAATATGACGGGTAAAATGTAATCAGGTGTGCGTACGGGATATCCATGAGTGTATGTCTTTAACATATATATATACATTCATGATTTTTCTGGAACATCCAGACACAAGCACAGGACTCTATAGGCAGGGATACTGCAATCGCCACCTGGGTAGGGTTTAGGATTTAGGTAAATCTAAACCCTAAAACAATGGGGAGAGATAGGGTGGCCTGGTATGTCGCACACGGACTGTATATGTTTTGTGAATATCAGAGAGCCTGTGTGCGATAGGAAGGCTAAACAAAGACACTTATGAGGCGGTTAGGGGTTAGGGTCGCAGAGTTTAGGGTTTAAGCGAACGCGTGCAAATCACCACACATGATATTACTATCACAACACATAATATTATTAAGCCCAACACACGCATTTACACACACTTTGTGCTACAAGTATAATTGTTACGATTATTTGTTGCAAATTGACTTTTATTAAAACATAACATCTTTCACAATATATCTACGGAAATACGTGCAATGAGCATATCTTTATGAAATACATTCAAAAAAACACACACGTACGCATACACATACACCGGAAATAAAATAAAATAACATACATAAGAACACAAACACACCGGATAAAGCGAGTAAACATGCTCTGTTCCATGTTACTGAACTTCTGGAAGGCCATATTCTTAATAACAGGAGGCAACTGATGGTGATCACCAATCAGAACCACTCTCTTAAGGCGGTTGGGCGACGGATCCTGTACAATGCCAAGAAAACACGAGTTAGCCTGATATATATATATATATATATATATGTAATATATACATCAA